TAAATATGGAGGGCGGACAGGGCCAATAGTCACAAAAGTATTACACATTCATTATATTTTTAACCAGTTGTCTTTATTATTTAATGTATGTTTGAATAAATGGTTGATGAAAACGTGTTCATCATCGTCACCATTTAAATGTTTACATTTCAACAACAAACTGAACTATAAATATAGGCTAATTATATCATTAAAAAGTTGATATAAAAACTGATTTACGTGCAAATTAAATGTGTATATGCATCTCTGTTTTTATCTTGATTATCGAGTAAATGTGTAATTATATGATTATTACATATTAAAATTGTATTTTCGTTTCATTGTTTCAGTTTCTGTGTTTCTAATTTTTATAATATGTAGCTGTTATTTTTATTTGTTTGTTTATTGTTTATTTATTTATTTGAGGATGGAGCATCATGTAATCCCCATCAGACTTTATTGTTCCCCTTCCTCCAAAATCGCAGTTGATCAGCAGCTCTGCTGGGCTTCAGTAGTCAGCCAATGGCTCTGTGAGACTTGCCGTGTGAAACAACACATTCCCTCCTTCAGTAATGAGGCTGCCAGCCAGCCTTCCTCTCTCTCTCCAGACTCTGGCGCATTGCTTTATCAGTTGTGTGTGTCTTTTTTCACTCTTCTCATTGCTGGCTCAATTCTAGCTACAGAAATAAGCAGGAGACAGGAGGGAAAAGATACAGTCAGGATGCGCTGCTGCTGCAGGTTTAGGAAATCTGTGTGAAATCTGTCCAATCCAACAGGCTGAACACAACAGGAACAGCTTTATTACATGCAAGAGCAGAAAACTAAATTTTCACATTTTATAAAGACAATGAAAGTGTTGCTTACCTGTGGTTGCTAGGCTCTTGCTATACGTATGCATAGTTGTTTTGAGTGTTTTTAGTTTTGTATGATAATATGCTCAGTCTTTTAATGTGTTGCTATGTGGTTGCTAGTTGTTCAACTTGTATAGTATTTATCTGAAACATGCTAGCAATGTGATGATACTTACCAGCAACTTCATAGCAACATTCTAAGCAACCATCCAAACCAACCTACCAACCACCTGAGTACCCTAGCAACTGCATAACAACACCCTAGCAACCAACCAGGGTACCCAAGCAACCACATAGAAACTCCCTAGCAACCACCCCAAGTACCCTAGCAACCGCATAGCAACATCCTAGAACCCAACCTGGGTACCCTATCAACCACATAGCAACCGCCCCGGGTACCCTAACAACTGCGTAGCAACACACTAGCAACCACTCTGGACACCCTAGTAACCACATGGCAACACGCTAGCTACCACCCAGTGTACCACAGCAACTGCATAGCAGCACTCTAGCAACCAACCCGGGTACTCTAGCAACCACAAATCAACACCTTAGCAACAAACCTGAGTACCATATCAACTGCATCTATCTATTTTAAACTAAAAACTACTTCAAACTGAAAACCTTCAAACTTCTAGATTTTCAAACTTTTTCAAACTTTCTGGTCTGGTTTTCTCAAGCCAACTTCAAAGTATGTCCTAATTAACTTTTTTTATCTAGTTGCTTAATTGTTTTGAGTGTTTATAATACTGTATGTTGCTAAGCTAGTTACTAGGATGTCCTGAATGGTTGCTAGGGAATTGTTATGTGGTTGCTACTTTATTCTAAGTGGTTTTATTGCATTGCTAGGACAAGATGCATTCAAAGCCATTATAAACACACACCTGTGACCAGGGCCGGATTTACCTCTTTTCGTGACATAGGCAAAACAAATTTTTGGACCCCCCTTCCCTATAATATAATAGGCCTAATATTACCACCCAAGCAAACAAAAATATTTCTTAATCAGTGGAAACCGTTACAGTGTTTTCTATCGCAATAAGCGCTTGCGTTCGGTCAATAAAAATCGAATGTAGTTCTTAATTTGTTTGAGAACTGAGAAAGACCGTTCCATATAGGCGCGGCGACGTTGCCACATAATATAATAACCACTTCGGGAGTGCATTATTCCTCTAATTTTTTTAACGACCTGGAGTCACAACCACACATCAAGACACTGTTCAGATGATTCGTTTCAGGACATTTGACATGTTTCCGTCCTGAAATCTTGTGTGTGTGTTGAACTAATTTTTTACGCACCTCATCCCAAACATTCCGTTGCAAATTCCAATAACGCAGTTATTAATGCAGTCTAATGCGGTTATTAGAGAGCGAGAGGGAGTGAGAGAGATTAAGTGCGTGTGAATACCTGCGTCTGTCTATGCGTCTCTCAGCAGTGTTCAGCAGCAGTGTCTATTAATAGCGAATCTTTAAGTTAAACTGCTTCAAGAACCTCGCTACTGTGAAATGTCGTAGCTTTTCAGCTGCGAAACTATTTCATTGATAAATTCGCGGGGCAGCGCTGACAAGAAATTTCTGTTCGCGTCTCCGCGTGTCTGCACTGTGTGTGCGTCTGTGAGAGAGACTGGGAGCAAGAAAGCGTGATTTCCGTAGCCTACATAAAAAAGGTTGAAGACATGGAAATAGTTTGCCATTTTTTACCCTATTTGTTTGTTATATTTATTTGCTCAATGTCTTCTGGGGTTTTGGTTCTTTTACTGTTGTAGATGTTCCATAGTATAACAAAAATATTATATATCTCTTCATTGTGTTTGGACCCCCAACACATGGACACTTTACTATCCCATGAGGCCACGGGAGAGGATTTATGAATGGAAGTGAAGTGACACAACTGACACAAATAGGTCATGTGACACGTCCGGATTTAATTCATACTTCCCATATTCATAATGTATAGAACATACTTTTTTTAACGGTCGTGGAGTAAATTTAAATTCAAATGTAGTACCTACTCAGAAAGTATGCGATTTCGGACACACCATCTATGTTAATGTGCCACGTTGCTTGGCAACGGTAAATGTCCTTCAGGTAGGCTAATTTTAATTTAAAGGTGTGTAATATTGTAATATTGACAGGTAGTGGTTGAAATAGTCACAATAGTGAACTGCAGTCTAAATTCAAAATATTGCAGAGAGACGTTTCTCCTGCCCCTCCTCCTCAGACTCGATGCTCACACGGGTTGCCAGATTGAGGACACGCAACAGGAACAAATGCAGTTGTCAATGGAAGGTGATGAATCCACGTTTTAATATTCCCCTGGTCATAGTGCTTTTTAGTTGGATGCTGAGGCTTTTTGGGTCAAGTAGAATCTGCAATCTCAGACCCAGTTTGTTTGCTGGCTTCCAAGGCTGCAATACACTGTGTTTTCCACCAACTGGAAAATTGGCATTGGGCATTGGTATTCTAATGCTTTAGTACAGTCAAAAAAATGACATACAGCACCTTTAATTTTCTCCTGGGTACTTCACTTCATTGTGAAAACGAGATTTTTTTGTTTTTATTTTGTTCTGAAGATTCCACTTATCTTTACAACCGTCTACCGAACATTTCTTTCTGAGCAGCATTGAGCCTTTGAGTCTGATTTCATGTTATTTTCAGTCATGCTGTGTCCTTGTACTTTGATTAATAAATTCCTGAAGCTGAGGTAGCCGCTTTATGAGTGCAACTCTGAAAACTCATCTCAAGTTTCCCATTTGTTTTCTTTCCTGAAGACACTCAATCAGACACAGACAAAATGGACTTCCTGGAAGATTGAAGTAGAATTCACTTAGTAGTTTTGTTTCTCCCTCTGCTTCCATCTGGGGTCCTGTGAGGCCTGGTGATCAATGGCAGCGAGGAGGAGGACAGGAAAGGAGAGGAGGATGTGTGCTTTAACGCTTATCACTAATTGAGTGCTTTGAGGATCGCAGCGAACATAAGCTTGATATTGAGCAACAACAGCTGACCACTTCTTCAGTGGCTGGGTTCTCAAAGTATATTTTCCCCATTTATTTTCTCCATAAGGATCTCAAACCAGCTCTGAGACGAATTACATTATAGAGTTTTATTGGAAGCAAAAAGTGTTTGAAAACACCAAAAAGTCTTTCATGTGGGAATCTTCCTACTGTGAAGCATAGCAAATGATGGAATTGAGTCAGAAATTTGACTTATATTTGAATTTTATATTTGAAATACACTTAAATGTGTATATATATATATATATATAACATATATGTATATATATATATATATATATATATATATATATATATATATATATATATATATATATACTGTATATATAATAATTGACTATAATGGGTATAAAATATATTTTGTAATTTTATTTTATTTATTAATTTAAAATTACATTAAAACCAAAGTTTTACCCATTGTCAGCAATAAGTTATTAATCATTTAAAATGTAATAAAATTAAGTATTATCAATTTTTATTTTATATATTTTAATAAGTACAGGTCATAATAAGTGTTATTTCATTTTTACATAAATATATCTGTTATGCTGAATGACGATGGATCAGTATTTCACCCATATCATTGACATTTTATTTTCACAAAAGTTATTTGAAACATTAAAATAGACACTTTACTTGCATTTAATATGCTTTCTATGTATATAAAATCACTTTTGTAAATTGAATTTGATGCGGACACCAAAATGGGACAGCTCGTCTTTGACCCACATATATTTGTATATATCTGAATATTTTGCATATATACACAGTACAATTTTTTTTGTTTTTTTTTTTACAGTAAATAAATAAAATATTATAAAATGTAAATATAGGAGAATTTGGGGAGACTTGATTATGTCATTTGTCAGTTGCATGGTTTATGGAACTGTAAAGTTATTTACAATGTCATGGTAACAGCGACTTGATCAGTGATTCTGATTGGTTGATCTCTTTCCAGGATTATTAGTAAATACAATTTTCTAGAAATGTAAATTGAATTCACACTGACTTGTGGCTTCTCCAGAAGCACGTATCATCCAAATGCACTTATTACTGAAATAATGTGTCATTGAAATGTTACAAATCTATTTGTCTGTGGAGAAAATGAATGTGATTTTTACTTGCACTCTATTAACACACTCTCTGTCTCGTGCAGCCATGAGTGGAATTCTGAAGAGGAAGTTTGAGGAGGTGGAGGGGGCGTCGCCCTGCTCCTCACTGAGGGAGTCTGAGGAGGAGGAGATATCCAGCACTGAGAGCGGAGACAGCAGCGACAGCGTCAACCCATCAGCATCACACTTCAGCCATTCTTCATCAGCATCCTCCTCATCATCAACACACGCACTGCAGCGGACAAGTGAGACAGAGAACTACAGTTTTATCAAATGCTTTTAGGTGAAATATTCAGAAAGCTGTGACGTTTCAACATTACAACTTTACATAACAGGGTTTCTGCAGGTTTGATGAAGGTAAATGTAAGACTTTTTAAAGAAAATTTAAGGACAATATTAAATGGAACACAATATGTAAATATGGTCTATAAATTGCTAAAATGACATAAGAAGTCTTGTTTAATTGATCAAAATTAAGTGAGTTTAAGATTAAAACCAGAACAAATATCTGCCAACTTTTCAAGACTTCACTTTACATTTGCATGCAAAATTTAATGCCACAACTTCATGAATGTAAGATGTTCTGCTCTGATTTAAGACCTTTCAAAGGCTTTTTGAAAAGACCCTGAATAAAGAGAAAAGTAGCCTGCACTATAATTTTTTAAAAGTTGTAAATAAAATTTAAGATTATTGGAGTATGTTTTTCAAGAAAATACTATTTCCGTTTTTCTAATTCAAAATTTCACATTTAATTCAGTGTGTTACTTAAGGAAACTTGTTTCTGCCACAGGATAAAAAAAAAGAGTAATTGGGACTTTTTATCTCAAAATTCTGAATTTGTCTCACGGTTCTTTTTTTTAATAGTATATAAAACTATAAACTCCAAGAAAAGTCAGAATTTTGTTATAAAAAGCTGCAATTACCAATTACAACAAAAAAAAGAACTGTGTTGTAAACTCAGAATTGCGAAAATAAAAAGAGTTTATCGCACAATTTAGAATTTTTATCTTAGAATTGAGTTTATATTTTGTATTTTATAAAGCGAAAAGCTGCCAGGTCATGACACTAATGAGAGTTAATGCATAACATTTCTCTGATGTTTAAGTAGTAGTTTACCTAAAAATGTGTAATTTTGTTATTATTTACTCACCATCATATAGTCCCAAAAACATATTCTCTTATTTTTTCTGTTGCAAACATTTGAAAGAATCACACCATATTCCAACATTCCATTCCACATATGACAAGTTTAAAAAAATATATAACATAGAAGTAAAAATTTTATTTTTGGTTAACTGTTCCTTTAAAACTAACGACAACTGGCACAAACTTGTTGTGTCATTGCTTTAAAGCACTGAGTTGTGGGTATATGAGGAAGAAGATGGAAAATACCTTTTCCCAGAGAATGTCCCCAGGGAAAACACTAGCTCGAAATTGGTAGCAGAAAAGAGAAAATGGCCCTTTGAAAGGAAAATTCATCACTGAGATTTGATATTGATCGTCATCACGCTTGTCTGAAGGGGGCTTGAGAAAATATCCACCCTCGCAATAAATGTAAAACTTCTGGCCTCATGCCGCTAACCATTAAGTAGCTGAAGCACATGAGCCGGCATTTGACGTCATAATAAGTGGAGGAGCAGAAAAGCATCAGTCATCATTTCTAGAAAGATGCAGTATTTGGGAAGCTGCTGTAAAACAACCTCATTTTTTGTCAGCAGCTTCTAAAATAAATACAGATGAATAAAGGCCCAATAAAGCGAGGGGTTGATTTAAGGAGGGCAGGTTTCTCCTCCATGTCAGTCATTCCTGATGCTCTTCAGCTCTAGTTCTCCATCACCTCTCCGAGCTCTTTAATGTTTTGTGATGCTCATTCACTTTGATTCCGTCATTAAAAATAATTCAAAGTTTATGTGCACCAGATGTCTGCGGATGACCCACGGTGCACCGATTCCCAGAGGACGTCTGTTTCCTCCTTTAGAAAGCGCTGCTCTTTCAGCTCAGCTGCAGAGAGAGGTTACGTCTACATTAAGATGTGAAATGTATCTTATAATCACAAATTACTGTCATTCAGATCAACCTGCTGAGCTGGATTCCTAGAACTATTTTCAGCAAAGTAAACATGATGAATAGCCAGTGACTGTTAGATGCAAACCCTGTGGCGCATCTGAGGGTATTACGCATGGTATGATAATGATTGCCATATTCATATATCTAGGCAAGCACATGATACTGTAATCCGTTCAAAAGTTTGGGGTCGGTAAGATTATTTTAATGATTTTTAAAGAAGTCTCTTATGCTCATCAAGGGTACATTTATGTAAAAATAATACGGATAAAACATTATCATTAAAATATTAAAATAACGGCTTTCTATAACTGTTTTCAGCATCATTCAGTGTCACACGATCCTTCAGAAATCATTCTAAGATGCTGATTTGCTGCTCAAGAACCATTTCTTATTATCATCAATGTGGAAAACAGTTGTGCTGGCTCATATTTTTGTGGAAACTGTGATACATTTTTTTTAGGATGCTATAGGATATTCTATAGGATAAATATAAAGCGCTTATTCGAAATAGAAATATTTGATAACATTATAAATGTCTTTAGTGTCACTTTTGATCAATTTAATGCATCCTTGGTGAATAAAAAGTAAAAAAGAAAATCTTACTTACACCAAACATTTGAACAGTAGTGTACTTTAAACAATATCATGGTATTACCAGAGTACATGTTTAGAACACCATTGTATTTCTGATTGAATTGCACAAAACCGGTCAAGAACACGTCCAGGGCTGATTTCACACCTTATTTGAAAGATAAAAAGTAAGAAATTATATTTTGCATATAAACTGAAGCCTCTTTTTTTTTTTGCATTGAGACATTGTTTTCATAAAGTTACTTACTGTAATTACAGTAATGATAATAACTCATGAGAATAATGAAAATTACAAATGAAAATTCGAAAGCAAAACATTTAGATGCATTGCAGTAATGATAATTTGGAAAATCAACTTAATTGCCATGAAAATAATGCCACAGTGCCATTGTCAATGCCATTGTAAAACCGAAAAATCCATTTATTTATGCAGAATAAATTGTATTATTTTTCCCACTTTCATTTTAGGAGTGAAATTTATGTTTCTGCCACAGAATAAAATATAATATAATATATACATATATATGTATGTATGTATGTATGTATATATATATATATATACACCACATTTTTTCTCACAATTCAGACTTTTTTCTCAGAATTCTGAGTTTATATCTTACAATTTTGACTTTTTTGGAATTCTGAACTAACATTTAATTTTTTCTTTGAATTCTGGGTTTCTTACAATTCTGACTTTTTTTCTTGGAATTAGGTGTCTAAAAAAAAAAAAAAAGTCAGAATTGTGAGATAAAAAGTCACAATTTCCTTGGCAGAAATAAACGTATTTTTTATTATTATTTTTTTTTTTTTTGACATTCACCTTTCCATAGTACATGTCCAAAGAAAAAAAAAAAGTCTTAAACAAGATGCAAATCACTCATGTAAAATTTAAATGGCTTTTCACAGCCAATCACACCACCTATATCTTCTTTAACGCAGAGCCCCCTGCATTTCTAAACCTCTGTTTGCAGTAGAGTGGCTGTGCTTCAGTTCTGCTGGAATTCCTGAGTCAGACTGGGTTACGCGCAGTGCACACATTCATGTGTGTGTGTAATGTATTCTGCTGGTGGTTCTGGGCGGGGGACCGGCATCAGCAGATGGTTCTTATTTGTCCTGTTTGTGTCAGACATGAAGGGAGCTGTGGGAGAGAGTATCAGGGAAACTCCACTCTTGTGGAGGCCAAAACTGGGGATATTTATACAAGGTATATTTACCATCCCCCTTTAAATAGCCAAACAATAGGAGCCGGAGGCATGCAGAGAACTGAAGGAACCACTAGAGGCACACTGAGGCTTACTAGTACAGCTGTGATATAGCTTACAAATAATGAAGATTGAGCAACACATCAGCATATTAGAATGATTTCTGAAGGATCATGTGACACTGAAGACTGGAGTAATGATGCTGAAAATTCCGCTTATATATATATATTCAAATAGAAAACAGTTACTTGTAACAATATTTTAAAATGTAACTTTTTTTATTGTATTTTTGATCAAATTAATGCAGCCTTGGTGAACATATGAGACTTCTTGGCAACAAACAGTCATTGTTCCCAATCAAAAAACCAGGGGGGAAAAACCCAGCAGGGAATCTAGTTAAAAATAATCTTATACACCAATATAATACCTAATAATAAGCAATATTTATTTTGACCAAAAATACTTTAAAGCAAGTAAAACAATGTGAATGAACGGTTAAATCAGAATGATTTTGAATAAATTAGTTTAAATCTGAAAGTACAGGTTTGTGGAAAGAATCAAACTTCTGAACAATCTCAGTTAGGAAGTTTAAATCAAAGCTGCTATATACTGAATATGCATTCTTGTAGCTCAAACATGAGCATGGTGCTAGCAACGTCAAGGTCATGGGTTCAATTCCCAGGGAATGCATGAACTGATAATGTAAACCATGAATGCAAAAGTTGCTTTGGATGAAAAAGCATCAACCAAATGCATAAATATACATGTAATGTAAATGCATGCATTTAATATAAATAAATCATTGTGAAATTCACAATATCAGTAATTTTATATCAAATCAAATATATTTTAAATATTTAATGCATCACTCAGCCCTATTTCCTAGTCCACAAATCAACTCAGACATACTGTGCTGTTACCGGAAAGATGCATATCAGTGTCCTTCAAATTGAATAACCAAATTGTAATTTTATTTACCTTTATTGTCTTTATAGCATCCTCGATACTGAAGCGGGAGAAGCGGATGAGGACGAGGAGGGTGCACTTTGAGAAGGTGACTGTGTATTACTTCAGCCGGAGGCAGGGATTCACCAGCGTGCCCAGTCAGGGTGGCAGTACGCTGGGCATGTCCAGCAGACACAGCTGCGTGCGGCAGTATACGCTGGGAGAGTTCGCCATGGAGCAGGAGAAAATCCACAGAGACATGCTCCGAGACCACTTGAAAGAGGAGAAACTCAACTCTATTCGTCTGCGGGTATGCAAATGATTCAGATACTTTTGTTATGCATATATTGCTGTGCATATGTCTTTAATATCTCACCTTTTGTATCGTCCTCAGTTGACAAAGAACGGCTCGGTGGAGTCCGAGGAGGCCAATGCTCTCACGCTGGACGACATCTCTGATGATGACCTGGACATTGATAACACAGAGGTGGATGAATACTTTTTCCTTCAGCCATTGACCACTAGGAAGCGGCGCGTTCTACTGCGCTCATCCGGGGTCAAGAAGCTCGATGTGGAGGAGAAACATGAGCTACGAGCCATCAGGGTGTCCAGGGAAGACTGTGGCTGTGACTGCAGACTCTTCTGTGACCCAGAGACCTGCACATGCAGCCTCGCTGGCATCAAGTGTCAGGTATGATCAGCAAACACACACATTACACACAAAACATGGTATCATTGCTGAGAAATTCTAGGTCTAGTTAATTATTTATATAATAATTCATAATTTAATCAATTCATATTTCAGGTCAGTCTCACAAAAATACAACTGGGTCACTTTTCACCTAAAAAAAACAATAATTTTGATTAATTAAATAAAAATGTGTATTATTTTAGGTAATAGCATGCTCAAATTATTTTTATGACCAATTTAAAAAATGCACTGACATTTAAATTTTTACAATGTAAGTATTTTTACATTTACTACTAGTAGTAAAGCAAACCCTGTCAAGGAAATTTAACATGGCAGACTAACAAGCAAAAATTATTAAGATGTCCAGAGATAACGTTTAATGGAGGTATGCCTGATAGAACTGATTAGATCCGACTGATACAGCTGGTAAAATTTTACACAGTGCATCAGGCCTTCAGAAGAGAGAGGAGCTTTATTTAGATAATTCCTGCTGCGTGTAATTCAAACCATCTTAAACTGGCCTGTGCTCAAGTGTTCTTGGATGTCCACAGGTAGACCGTATGTCATTCCCATGTGGCTGCACAAAAGAGGGCTGCAGCAACGCAGCCGGCAGGATCGAGTTTAACCCCATCCGAGTTCGGACTCACTTCCTGCACACCATCATGAAGCTGGAACTCGAGAAGAGTCGCGAGCAGCAGCAGAATTCCGGCACCATCGCACCGACCGGCAACGGTTTCCACGGCGACCCGAACAGTCACTGCAGCCCCCTGGCGACGGGCCAGCATGCGCTGGAATACACGATCCCGGATACAGTGCCGCAAACCACCATCATGCATCTGCAGGCCGGCGACGACATGGACGACACCTTGGAAGACGAGGAGGAAGAAGACGACGAGGATGAGGAAGATGAGGAAGAGGACGAAGACGACGAAGAAGACGAGGACGAGAGCAGCAGTCTGTGCAGTCTATCCGACTCCAGCACACAGAGTTTGGCAAACAGCGACTCTGAGGAGGAAGACGACAATGAGGACGAAGACAAGACAGAAGAGTTTGACACGGGATTGGCCAATAGCGAAGTGGCTCTGCCCCCTTCCGTGATGTGTTACTCTGAGAATACGGTCGCGTCAGACAACCAAACGAACGGCAACTCCTACTTCATCAACTCCACCACGGAGTACTACCCAATAGAAAACGCTACTCCGCCCGCACTTTTAGCCTCCGCCAACCAATCTAGTGAGCCCTATGTAGGGGACACAGCGTCCTATCAAGACAGGGTTAATGACTCCAGTAGGGTCATGTCTCAGGGTCCTTACAATGTGACCGCTGACCAATACACGGACTACTCCCAGCAGCCCGAGCAGCCATATGCCAATAACCACTTGGCTGTGATTGGCTGTTGCGCCTCACAGCCAGATAAAAGTGTCCAGTCCAAAGGGACCTTCCTCAGCCAATCAGGAGAGCTGAGCCAGATGGAATTCCAAAACTATATGAACAACAATACACAGGATACAAGTTACAATGCCAACGGGAACTGTTACTTAGCTGAACAGCCAAAGGAGATGTCTCACAATCTGCCCGAAGTTTCGCTAGCGGACAACATGAAAGGACCTACTTTACTGGATGCTTTTGCTGAGCCCACTCCAGTTTAGATTCAGAAAGCAGAAAGAGTATAAAAGCAGCTTTCGATTCTGCACATCAACCTTTAGTTTTCCTGTTTAACGTTTGGCGGATCCAAAAATATGTATTTTTACTGAACTTTACTGAACAAAAACGATTTAAACTGCAAAATCAGAGTGTATAAGCTTTAGGTTGGAAACACTCTACGCAAGTACGTGAACGCAAATGCTTCGAGCTACGCGTGCTTGATTTCAATAACGCAATGGGTCTTATTCACTAATAATTGCGTGGATTATTGCATTTGTACGTACATGAGAATTTGAGAAATTTCTGCTTGTGTCGACGTGCATTCTCAACCTCAACTGAAATTACTCATTTGAATGAAACACACCCAAGCTATCTGCATATAAGGATTTTTCGCACATTTTTCTTTCACAGCCTTTTATCACTTTTAGCCAGAGCCGTCCATAACGGGGAGAAAAGTGGCGGCAATTCATCTTAACATTATTATAACACGATTCATTTCATCTTAACATGATTATAACATGATTCATTTCATCTTAACATGATTATAAGGCCAGCAGTATGTGATTTTTCCATACGTGGTTTCAGTTGTTCCAATTTTTTCCCCCGTAAATTTACATAAAATTTTAGGACGAAAGTTCTTGATTTGGTCATGATACAATCGTACGCAGATTTCAAGGATGAATTAATGCGTGCACGTGCTTAGTGATAAATTAGACCCATTGTTTTTAAATCAACAGACATTAGTAGGTATTCTAGCACCCCCCTGAGGTTTATTACTGCTAGAGCAAGAACTTAAAGGGATAGTCCACCTAAAAATGAAACTCGGTCGTGATTTACTCACCCTCATGTCATTCCAAACGCTTTGGAGAGCAAAAAAAGGTATTTTAAAATATAAAAAATCTGGGGTTTGTCCATAAAATGAAGGTAAATGGGGTTTAATGTTGCTTGGAGTCCTACGTTGCTCACACTAACTTCTTTTATGTTCTGCAGAAGAGAGAAAGTTTGGAAAGACATGAGGGTGAGTAAACAGCAGAATCTTCGTTTTTGGGTGAACTTTAGGTTCGCGCTTGCAAGCATCGGCCAAGCGTTTACATACTAGCATAAAGTCTATTCCTGGCCTTAGGCCCGTGCAATGTTTCTTGTAATTTCAAAAGTTCTAGTTTTGAGCAGAAATGTGAATAGAACTTTTCTATGTATCTGTGTCAGTGGTGCAAAAAATGAAAACAGAAAAAAAAGATTGTTGCTGTTAGTGTTCCGAAGTAAGTGTATATCTAAATGTTTGATAAAAGCATGTTGTTTTTTTTTAGCTTTCATCGCTGGTTTATGGTTTTGTAAGAGTTTGATGTACTGTAAAAGAGAAAATAATACTGTTGCATTTTCGTACACATACTTCATGCTTTAAAGAGTTGGTGGAAGCATGAAAACGGCTCTTAAAATGTGTGCTGCTCATTTGCCTTTGCTTACAAAACCAAAACCGTGATATTTAAATGGTGAACACGATACATTTCCGCAACATAATTGCACTTTTCCATTGGCTGATGTTACACAGAACCGCAACCAATTGTTACCTGAGCACTGAAGGGGGCGGGGCTATCCGGTACCGTGCCATGACTAAAGGCCCGTTCACACCAAGCACGATAACTATAAAGATAACGATAAAGATATAGTTCTAAAAATCGTTCTCAATATTAAAGAATAGCAGAGTCCACACCACAGCTATAACGATAAAGGCACAGAGAAACGATATCGTTGGAATCACTTTCAGAACGATTTTTTTCCAGCTGATGAACGATAAAAACATTGACAGCCAATCAGAATCCATCCTGCTATAACGAGCTCGAGAATTTAAAGCGGCAGACGCGCATGCGCTTAGAATAAACAGACGATATCTTTATCTTTATAGTTATCGTTCTTGGTGTGAAGGGGCTTAAGGCTGCGTTCGGAATGGAATACTTGCTTACTGCATAGTATATACTATATACCACGGGATAAAAAAATAAAAAAGGTAATTGCAACTTTTTAACTCACGATTCTGAATTTATGTCTGGCAGTTGACTTTTTTCTCAGAATTGCAAGATATACACTCAGAATTCTCACTTTCTTTCTCACAGTTATGAGTTTACATTTCACAATTCAGACTTTTTTTTCAGAATTCTGAGTTTACACCTCGCATCTGTGTTTTTTGTTTCCACCACAAAAAAAAAAAAAAAGGTAATTGTGCCTTTTTATCTCTCAATTCTGACTTTTCTCGCAATTACGAATTTATACCTCACAATTCTGAGTTGATATCTTGCAATTCTGTCTGTTTCTCAGAATTCCGAGACAAAAAGTCTGAATTGTGAAATATGTGAAATATGAAAAAGTCGCAATTTTTTTTTTTTTTTTTTTTTTTTTTTATTCAGCTCGTGGCGGAAACAAGCTTTCATAGTATACTAGCAACTATTTTAAAATAATAACAAAAATAAATTGAAAAACTGAATTTATCATATTTTCATATAAAAATGCATATGAAACAAATGCAGGGTGATTAAATAACGTCAAGACAAAGTCAAGAAAAAAAAATTGTCCCTCATGTTACTTTTGGGGAAGTGCACTGCATTTTTGGATACAGTATGGTGTGCAGTAAATACACATACTCTATACATAGTAGTATGTTAGCATCCTATTCTGAACACAGCCCTAAATTAAGTTTTTATAACATATCTGCAAGTTTTTAGTGGAGACATGAAGGATGTTTTTTTCCATGTCACTAACAAATAATATCTATATATATATATATATATATATATATATATATATATATAT